ACACACAAAACCAAAGTTTAACGACTTGGAACTTTCAGCAGTGTAAATCTTCAAATATTGACCGATGTCATCAATGTATAAGAACGGAAATTAATTTTGATTTATCCTACTGCAAGAATATTTTCCCTTTTATTAAAAGCTATTTATTGACATGAAACATGGATGGAACAATGCCATTAACAAATAGTTTGTTGATCGTAAAATAAGATGCAGAAAATCTGAATAAGGTGCATGTTGTGAAAATGTTTGAACTATAAATAATACTCTTTTGTTGTCTGTATGATTATCAAAATCAGTGCTTATAAGTAATAAGCAACAGTAGTTGACCGATGTTCAAATTTCATAAACTCATTTAAAGGGAATCGCATGAACTCCCTAAGGAGCGAAACTGTTGCGTCGAAGATGTGCGTCTCTTGTTTTGTTAACTTCCGCCTTTTTTATTATATTAATTTAACTATTTTGGTTCAATTATGTATAGATTTTATAATATGTATGAAAAGCCGATTAATTCGGTAACGGCTGATTCCTAAGAATAATTTCTACCATTCAATTTAATAAGTAAATGTCGCTGATCATATTTGAAATTAAATCGTGTCGCTACCAAAGCGGTGTTTTTTTTTTTCCAACAGATAAATGCATATGCTATTCTCGTTCAATAAACAATATTGTCAATACACCATTTATTATATATGCCATAATAAAGCATGTATTTGCACTCGTCCTTTAATGATTAATTATATTTGAAACAAAATTTGTTGTTCAATCGAATTTAGGAAAGTATGTTTCACTGTTATGTGAACCCGCCAGATCGGTATCGACAATTCAACGTGTTTAATGTCGATAACTGAAGGACTCAACTGCTTATGAGTAAATGGCAGATAGTCATTCAAAGATACATCACGAAGAGAAAGTGATATATATAGTGATGATAATTGTGACTACGTTTACGCCGTGAAACAGAGTTGAGAATATTCGACGATCTCTCAGAGGAACTAAAACATAAACCACAATTTTTGCTAGAAGAGCCGTGGGGTGTGGCAGTTTCAAGTTCATAAATGAAGAACTCCGTCTTCTTTTTTCCTTGCAAAACGGCAAAGCATAATAAAAGGCAAAAATATCGAGAAATTTCTTCATTGGCCTATTCGCTGTTTTACATACAAGTGCTACAATGAGGATTGGTCTGTAGTCACAAAGGAAGTAACCTCTTGAATTTATTGTGATTAGTTCTGAAGGAGAAAGAAAATGTCATTGATAAAGTAAAATGAATGTGAAGGAATGACTGTTAAGGATTATTTACGTTGATATTTTGTATAATATTCAGTAAACTAATGCCAGTATGAAATCATTATAGAAGAATATCGACAATATATAGAAATTAGAAGTAAGTCAAAAGAAATACAGGACACTTTCATGCTAAATAAACAAAAGCCAGTTTTAAACATACAGGCACTTATATGGTAAAAAGAAATAGTCGGTCTGTAAAACATTTTGGGGAAATACATGAGAGACATTCAAACTCATAAGTCGAAAATAAACTGACAACGCAATGGCAAAAACAGACCAAAAGATATACAACAGCATACAGAACACAACATAGCAATCTTGAGACTGAGCAACACGAACCCCAACAAAAACCGGGGGTGATGTCAGGTGCTCCGGAAGGGTAAACAGATCCTTCTCTACACGATGCACCCATCGTGTTGCTCATGTAAGTACAAACCCGGTGATAAGTCTTCTTCGGTAAGTCACATTCGGGGAGAAGGAGAACTGGATTCTGGTTACGACGATTGGAACTTTCCGTCGTCATCTGCGAAACGGAAATTCCATGACGGTCAACCAACTCTTGATGTCATCCGTAAAATTTACGAAAGAATGACTTCAACTTCACCACTTGGAACTATTATTTTGATAGCTTCCTTGTAAGCAACAACCCTCTATCAAGGGCATCATGATAGAAAACGCAAGCCCTGGAATATCGTATCATCTGGGAGATATATACTCCATATGCTGGCGCTGCTGGAATGTTGCATCATAAAAATGAAAAGTTTATAATTGGGAAACTGAAATCTCTTTTGTCGTAAAGTTTTGTTCTCAACCGACCCTCATTGTCAATTTGCTAGCTTCTTTTTATTCTTCATAAGAAGCTCCTGCGTGAAGTCAGCCTCATGTTAATAAAGGAACAAGTCGTCAAGAAGAGGAGCACAGTTGGTCCCCATAGGAATGCCAACTGTTTGTGGAAAAACACGTCCTCCAAACGTTACAAATACGTTGTCAATAAAGAAATCAAGAATTTTGATAATGTCAGTTTAGAGAATTTTTTGTTTGAAGAAGGCATTGCTTGGCATTATCCTCGATTGAATCCATCAGTATTTTGAAGTTGTGTTTCTAATTGATTGATTTAGGTAGACGATATTTCGAGCCTATCTGTAAATAGATCTTTGGATTTCCTGTATCTAATTACACGAAACAGGCACGGTCGATTTTACTGTATTTGTTTCAATAACAACACAACATCATAAAGTTGCTAAAACCTTCAAGAAATCGAATATTAAAGAGGTTTTTTATTTTGATATATCAAAAAAATTACCAACAATTCTACAAATTTCCATTAAATCAAAATTATTTTCATATAGCTGTTTAAACTATCTTGCTAATTTTACATGTTTTTTTTTATATGCATAACTTTGCTTCGAAGGACATTCAACCAAAATGAATTAATTGCATTAGAAAAACAGTACATATAATTACTTCCTATAGTATTTAGGTTTTTGAGAATGTCTTTTCTTGTAAATTTTTGGTGGTTTTTCATCCATCAAATTTTGGATAATGAATATGTTCGACTTTTACGGACGCCATCACGAGTTGGTTGAACGTTATGGAATAACCGTTTCACAGATGATATTGGATATGTTCCTTATGTCGTAATTACAATCCACTTCCTTTTTCACCACGAATGTGACCTACCGAATTAGACTGTTTACCAGATTTGTAATAACATGAGCAACACGACGGGTGCCACATGTGGAGCAGGATTTGCTTACCCTTCCGGAGCACCTGAGATCACCCCCAGTTTTTGGTGGGGTTCGTGTTGCTTAGTCTTTAGTTTTCTATGTTGTGTCTTGTGTACTATTATTTGTCTGTTTGTCTTTTAATTTTTTGGCCATGGCGTTGTCGGTTTGTTTCCGATCTGTGAGTTTGACTGTCCCTCTGGTATCTTTCGCCCCTCTTTTTCTTTTTGATATATTTAAAAAATGCCAAAAATGTTTTTACACCTTAAAACAATCATTTTAATATGATTAAAGGACTGTTGTCGTAAAATATTTAGGAGAAATTGACCCTACTTCCATTTATTCAAAATCACATACAATGATAGAAATGTCGCAATATTAAGAAACTTAAACAAACATGTCTTCTTTTTTTATTACATGCTCTGTTGGAAATTTTCCTTCTTAATGGGTACGTCCTATTGACTCGTGGAATTTATTTGTTTTAATTTTATCATGCGTCTGTTTGTTCTTAAAATTTAATATACGTAGTAATTTTTTATTCGGAAAAGTTATGCAAAAGAATAAATTATTCAAACTTCATTAAATTTTATCCTTCTTTTTGGAATTTTAATTCTTCGTGTATAATTTAATGAAACTATCAACAATATTTAACCAATATTGTAATTAACAAAGCAAACAAAAATTTCTCAAAAATGTTCTTTTAATCTTATTATTTTACCAAATAAACTTATTCATAAAGATTATGCATACTTAAGAGCTTAAATCCATGGATCGTATACTTTCTAGGAAAATAATAATTTAAAGGTAATTTCTAACAAAACTTAAGCTGCATATAAAATAAGGAGATGCTGTATAGTTGTCAATGGAACAAAAACAACTGACATAATGACAAAAGACAAAAACTGCTGACTTAAGACTATTCACGTTTACTAAAAGATATAGTTCAAAGCCAATAAAAACTAATAAAAAAATCATGTTCTCCCAGGCTAGAGTATCAATCAGTACACACCCAACGGATTTGGTAGAAAGACGTCATTAACAGTCTGAGCAAAGCATGACCTTGTGCAATGCCAGAAAATAAGTACATAATATCTACAGGATTTGTATATTTATTATTTAGATTTTTTGTTTTGTTTTTGTTGGCGTTCCATGAGATATATTGACTAATTAAAAATTGTCTTTCTAATGAAAGAAAATAACACTTTTTAAATTTCGTGCGTCCGAAGCGGTTTTCTGGATTTACCTTCATAAGGAACGCTCAACGGTTACATTTGCAAGCCAGGTATATATAATAGTTCTCAAATTGTGAAATTATTCTTTTGAAAACAGAAGAACTTTCGAAGCTAGATATACGCAAGTTATCTAAAGTTTGTTTAGTTCTAGTAGCTTTGAATTTAACAAAACAATGTTTTAAATTTCGTATATCTATGTATATGTTTATATATATAATTAAGTGAAAACCACTTGATATATGTACAGAATTTTGTATTTGTGACATTAAAATCGAAATATATGTATCAGACAAAATTGATGATGATGGCGATGAATTGATGTTTAAGGCCAACGGCAAATATTACATGCATATCAAGACGAGAACACGTTCATCAGATATAACATAAATCGTAACTTATACTAGACCGACCATTAAAAACGAATCTTTAATGTGCTTCTTCACAAGCAAGATCCTACACGGACACATTATTCTGACCTCGAGCCAACCAATTCATGGCTAGACCAAGCCGCGGATCAAGCCCATGAACTCACACACTAGAGGCGTATTCGCGACTACGAGACCACCGTGGTGGTAAGGTTGAATTGACTATATTTTCTGAGTAAATTCATTTTCTTGTTATGAAGTCCAACCAATCTAACTTAAAGGATATGAAAAATATAACCCGCTTCGATATTGCAAAGGTCTGTTTGAATAAGCATCAACTGATAATTACTTATTTAAAGTGTATGACTATTATATATTATCGCTTTTAGGGAAGATTATACGATAGGTGTTCTATGGACAAACAATCCATTAGTATTCTATTGGGCAGACGGTCAAATTTTGGATCACTGGGATAACTTTGTGTCAGGAGTTTCTCCTAAAAATAATGATGATAATGTTTATGTTAAATATTCTACTGGAAAATGGATTTTCGATATGGGAAGTCATCATCATGTTGCAGCGTGTGATTATACGGTTGGTGAACAGACTGACAGACACTACGCCCTCGTTGGTGGTGATAGTATGTGTGGACGGTTAGAAGTGTTCCATGATGGATTCTGGGGAACAATATATGACTCAAACCCAGATATAAAACTTGGATATTTGCTATGTAATAATTTAGGATATGAGTAAGTATTGAAAAAGAAGACAAGGCGTGTTAATTATTATTTGATTACTTCAATTTTATACTTTTTTAGCGAAAAGTACAATTGAGAAGAGGTTCAAAGAACACAAATTTTATATATTCAGGCAAAAGTTACCTTGGATAGATGTGGCTTGGTCTTTTAGGTCCATTTCGGAAATAAATTCATAACGTATTCAAAAAGTTATACACCTTTGCCTTTAAAATTTTGCTTTTGAGCATTCCTCGCGACTGTTAATCAAGTAAATTGGTTTTGTCATTTAAGTATAATGAATTATAAAATTTCAAATATGTATATAAGTGAACGTAAGTTTACTACTTGAATCAAAACTCAAAAATATAAGCAAACGTATTAAAGATAATGATATATGTAAACACTATATTTATACACTATGATTTTGTAACTGTGGTTCCTTACATCGCTCTTATATATACATTTACTATATACTATTTCAGATAGATTATAATTTTAAATACGTTTTTAATTTAATGGTATAATATGATTTTAGTCTGCAAGACTTATAAAAACTTGAGTTGCTTTTCAAGTGAAGAGAAACACAATACCTCCATATGTTGTATACTTATCTTAAACCATTGTATCGGGACCGTTATAGTAATAAACTTATGTGATTACTCTCTACTTCGAAGTGACTTATTGCAGTTCAAAACAGTATTGAATCCCCAATCATCATTCTTGTTTTAAGGTAACCAAGAAAGTGCTGAAAGCTAGTGTCTGATAGAGATATTAACAGCAGCAAACCAACAGCATAGAAACAATGTTTAAAACGTTGATGCTGTGGATTAACTGGTTTTAATACATTCGTATCGGTTGATTTTACGAGTTGGTTGTATGTGATTTTCTTCCGATAAGGTGTATGTACGCTTTTCGTTATTTGATGTGGTTTTTTCTCAGAGATAAATATATGATCAAATTTGTACAGCTTGAATAATCTCTCTTTGTCTTTTAGTTTAATTATAATACAAATGGAAGTGTCAACTATACCATAGATGTAGAAATCTGTCTCATATCCTCAGATTTGTGTCCTTACCTATATTACAAATGGACGTCAAAAAATGTTTGTCCTTTCGAATTCGTGCCTGTAATCTGTGTCTTTTTAACAAATCATGCCCTGTCCTATGTGTTGACGCCACAATTATAAAAACGTCTTCGAGGAAAGATTTTTGTTGTCAAGTACACCAATACGACTTTTACATTCGAATTAAATCGATATCACTAAAATGCGCTTTCAACTATGTACATAGGAGGTCACAGTTTCTTGCAATAATAGCAAAAATAAAACAAAAATCTCTTAATATAGACACATTATAATTTGATATAATGTATATTTATAAATAAATATTTTTTTGCTCTTATCATACCTTCCCTCTATTTTTAATATATTTTCAGATGTATATCAACTACTTTAACAATTCGCATAGCTCTGATTGTTTGTCGACATTCAGCTTTATGTTGGTCTTTTGGGTTTTTTTAACCTCTTCATTGTTTTTATTTTAAGTTTTTGATTTTCAAATATTTTGGTCCCGACCATCACTTGAGAGAAATTAATTGTGCATCTGGTGCAGTAGTTTAGATAAATCTTAAGAAAGAGACATAATTTGGATAGTCGTTGATTGGTAAAACACGTGTCATTCGCTCCCCGTTTGCATGCTTCAACTTTACGCAATAATATTCTCTATCACTTTAATTATACAAAAAAAACATACATCTAGTCGAGCTTACACCCATGTTAACGACACTATTATCTACAACATATAAAAATTCACATTAAATAATAGAATTGAGAATAGAAACGGGGAATGGGTCAAAGAGACAACAATCCGACCAAAGAGCAGAAAACTTCCAAAGGCCACAAATGGGACTTAAACGGAGATAGAAAATCCAACACCCGGAGGCGGGCTTCAGCTGGCCCCTTAACAATAATGTATACAAGTTCAACGAAATGGACGTCACACTCAACTCCGATACATATAAATGAACCAAAATTAAAAATACACACACGACTAACAAAGGCTAACAAAGGCTAGATGTTACTGACTTGGGACAGTCGCAAAAATGCGGCGGGGTTAAACATGTTTTATGAGATATCAACCCTCTCCCTATAACTCTAGCCAATGTGGAATAAACAAACACACAGCAATACGCCGTTAAAACTCAGTTTTTTTAAAATACACTTGTGACGTTAATCTTTTGTTTAAACTCTCCATTATTTTTCAGGAATGGAGAGTTATTCTCTTTTGTTCATCTTCATTCAGCCAGACATTTTGCCCTTAGGATATTTCCATGGGCACTTTCTTAAAAAGTGTTCACCCATTGAAATAATTCTAAAGGACGTAACGCGATAGTGAATGCAAATGAAAACTTACTAAAACGGCTGATACTGGTTTAAAATTGGGATCGTAGTAATACAATGAACACACATATCTCATTATTAATAAACAGCTTTTATTTGCCAGTCGTAATTCCATCGAATAAAATGTAGTATCGTATTCACTAAAATTCAACAACATTATCCACAATTTGTTTTCCGATGCAAATCTTGGCCGAATTTCTGTCATGGATCCAAGCGGGTAAAAACGAATTTATTCCATTGTAGCCATTCCCCTTCTGTGCATCTACAAAATATCAAATGTGTTAACTCAGTTGAATTCTTTGGTAATTTTGAACACATTAACATTATTCAATAATGAAAATTAGAGAAATATACATTTCACTTAAAGATTTGATCATAATTTTACCGTTTATTAAAGATATCATTTCCTTGAAAATTAAAATGTTGTATTTTGATTTTTTACTGTAAAGATCGTTTTTTGCATTTTACTATATACATTAAAATCAGAAAAATTACTAGGAGAGTTTCTACAATAATAGTTTGGTTTAATAGAAAAAATAGTTCAAGAAACTGAAATGGTAAAAATGGCGTATTCGGTATATTATTTGATTGTTCGTTGTTATAAGTTGAATATATTACTAATGAATAGAATTTGAGGGGATGTAGATAACATCTGAATAAGGCTTGTGTTAAATATTGGGCGGGGTTTTTGTTCAATTTTCAACAGAAACGCGTAACATAATCGAATTCATTCACTGTTGTTATATGTCCAGTGGAACATATAACAGTTATATTGGCAGTGCAAATAACGGGTTTATCTTGAAATTATAAAGTGAAATTAAAAGTTTTCCACTTAAGTTAAAGAAATACAAAACGGAATCCAGAAGTGTTTTTAATTATGCGGGTTTATTTTTCTAAAACTTTTTTGCTTCCTTTCTGATAATAGAGAAGAATGAAAACTACTCTCAGTTTTCTTGTATTGCTATGTAAGCATGTTAAGACTCATCTAAAAAATGCATAACATTTTTGTTTGTTGTAATGAGCAAAGGGAAAGAAAAAAATATTGCTTATGCATGAAAAACTGTTTTCTTGTTTACTTTTATTTCATCTGATAGAAAGGTTTGAAATATAGAATCACATTTTGTTTCCGATATGACTTATAATCGAGCACAACCTTATTAGTTAAATAACCTAGACTAAAGTGTTACATACCTGGAAATGTATTATAATTGTACCATTTCATTTTTCTCAGACGATTCTACATCCAATATTTATCAAACGAAAAACAAACATAATCCATTAACATATATTCAAAAATACTTTTTTTTCTTCTTTCGTAATACCACTTAAGACACAAATAAATATCCTTTCAATCCAACTGCAAGAAAGACGTCCGTATCCTATGACTTAAAACATAAATCTGGATGAACTTTATTCAAGATCTTTTTATAGTAATTATTCTACTGTTCAAAAATACTTCGTTAAGTGAGTAGATGGTCAGCTTGATCTTAAATTTTGCCTGCGGATTATTGTGTACAACATTGGGGAAATGAAAAGAAAAACATTACAAGATGAAATAAAATTCTTTAAAATATTATAATCTGAAGACTCGTTCTTAATATTCAAGGTGTATTTTAAGTTAGCGAAAGTCCAACTAACTGTCAATTTCTTGGAAATAATGGGCGTCGGCCCTACTGGCCTCCGCTCCATTATTTCCCAGGAATTGACAGTAAGTTGGAATTTCTCTAAAACAAAAACAAAAAAAACGTAAGTCCGATGTTAGAAAAGGTAATGGAATTAACTAAGAAAAATGATAATGATCAACATGAAACAATCTACTCTCAGTTACTGATATGCTAGCTCTGGACCTCAATTAAACTGATCGAAAGATCATATCTTCGTCATATAAAAATTTGAATTTTAAGGATGTTGTAAAGTCAAATGTTTACAATACTATTAAACAATTAGTCTAATACGACTTATAATAAAAATCTGTCATTACTACAGAGTGCAGATTATAGCAAACCTGCACTGTAAATATAAGATTTTCAGTTGATTTTTTGTATTATCCGATGTAAATCAAGATGTATACCTTAATGAATATTATAGTTGAAAAAAAAAATAAAAATCATTTTTTACGTGTTGATCACTGAGCAAAATGCGACTTGCGGAACTGTAAATATACACAGATTTATGGTATAAATTTAAGGGTATAAGATTCTCATAATTTCAATTTTTTGATAATATGTTGTAACTCCTTAAGTTTTATTCCTAAGCACTTACATTAAAATTTATTTTTAAAAACAAATATTGGTTAATTGTTTTAGGTATGCAGCTTAGATACACAATGCAAACTATTCTTAAATTATTGTTTATCTACTAGACTTATCATTTTTTATCTGTTTATTCATTTTATACGAAATATCTAGAGGCATTATTTTATTTCAAATATCTTATTACAAATAGTACTACAGTAGGAAAGACCAAAAGTCGCTTATAACAAATATCTGGCCAAATTACCTCACGGGACCTTAAAGGAACAGTAAAACGCGTCTAAAATCATCTGATATATTTTATAGGTATCTGACTACTATTATATTACAGAAACAGAAACTCACCTTGGCTAGTAATAAGTATTCTACAACAAATTTTCTATCCTTTTAACTCTAATTATAATTTAAGAGAGTTTTATTAAATTTTGTAACAAAGCATATGAAAATTATAATATTAATCATTATTGGAGTGTAAAAACTCTTTAAATGTTTCAGATGAATAACGTGATTTTTCTAATAATTCTTTCAATTCGGTGGACAGCAATGACTTTTCGACTCTCTTCACTACACTTCTACACAGAAGTTTTCGTATTTAATTGAATGGTCTGTGAAACATCTGATTGCAAATTGCATTTGCTGCACCTCATATAAAGCCTATATCTGTAAGGAAAAAGGTAGATATCCTAGATTCACTGACTTTATATACCTATATGGAGTTATATCCTTTCAGAACGATAGGTCATTCTTCTGAAGAATCAACCCGGGCGATGCCAAGTTTCAATGAAATCTGCTTCAAAGCATAAATTAATGACCTGTGTAAGGTCATCATTTTTCCTACTTAAAATGCAAACTACTGTTGGTTAAAACATTTAATTCATTTGATCGTAATCGTGTGTTGTTGCCTTTATGGGTCAATCAGTTCGTGATGGAGACCGTAAAACCTATGTCGTGTCGATTCAATCGTTCGTCCTCAAGTAAGGATGCCATACGATGGAGCAAGGGGTACGTTACTACTGGAAAGTTGACATTTGGAAAGTTTAAATCACCACGTTTATTATCAGGAATATGCACGTCTTTGGTTGAGTAGTCTCATTAATTTTATTTTGTCTTTTTTAGGTTTGATTCTTACGACTCATCATGTGTATCAAAGGTAGGCACTGGTATAATATGGTCAAATGATTTTGTGTGTGTTTCTAATGCTACGACGATCGATGACTGTTTTCCAGGTCAAACAACATGGGATACTTCAGTAACAGACCACACTTATGATGTGCATGTCAGGTGTAAAGGTAACAGGACTTACTGATATATATATGTATATCACTTTACACATTTTGAGCTTTCGGAGTGCTTTTCTTGATATAACTATATCACAATGCATCAAAAGAAAATTTAAGAAAAGTTTTTTTTTAAACATGTCATTACCAGAGCACTGACTACTTAACTGACGATGCCCTCGTGGTATCACAAAGAGGTGTTAAAGTTACAAAAGGATATACACACTCAAAAGTCGAAGTCAAACTGATAATGCTATGGCTTACTTAAAACGGAATTTAAATTTTGTAATTTACATAATTGTTAATTCGTAGGTCGAAACATAAAAATAATCAATTTTAAGTTTAAATTCTACTCTTTGAAAAAATAGAGGGTCGAGTCAACTTAAGACGTATTTTCTATCATAATAATGCAGCAAAAAGCCGCAGTTTGAAAAGATAAAGAATACAAAGTCATGATTGGCAGGAAATAATTAATTATTATACTTTCTATTAAGAACATGTATGTTTTTTAGTCTGTTGTACATGTATATCAAGCATTGACTTTGGAAGTACAAAATAAATTTCTCCAGATGTAAGATAAGATGAGATAAAAAGAAATTAAACACCATTTCTAATTGTAACATATATTTCATATTTTGACGAACTTTCATTACTCATTATTATCGTATTGTAAACAACAATCGAATATTGTATGACTTTTAAAACTGAAATTTCGAGTGTGTATCTTAAAATCACTGCTTTAATTTGGTTATTTTAGGAGTAATTGAAATCTTTTGAAGTTATTGATGTAAAAAGAACCTGAAAACAAGACACCCATCTGACACATTGATTAATAACAGCATCGTTTTAAATTCATTCTATTTATTTCCCCTTCAACAGTGTTGATTTATTATTTTCCATCGCTTATCTTCACAAAGGAATTATTAGTATTCTAAATGTTAAATTATTTCAAAAGCGGCGAAAGAGCAGACACATTATATTGCCATTAGTAGTTGTCTTTTTAAAACTTTCACAATAAATTTGAATAAACGATTAAATGTAAATAAACATTAAATGTTTCGAAACACTCGAACATAAATATTTGAAAACCAAAGATGTATAAATACCTAAATACGTTGTAAGCAGTTTGACCAAATTGGACCTAAAAGGAATAGCCACCATCAGCTACGGTCAAACTTTGCCCGAGGGATTTTGAACCTTAGTTTCATAGTTTAATTAATGCATAATTTCATTTTTAGGCATTACAATTATACTATTCTTTGTGTTGAAAAGAATTTCTTATGATTCGGGAAAATGTAAATATATACACCACTAGATAACCATTCTACAGCAGCACAGTAATCTTCTTAATGCTTGTATGAATGAAAATCGTGTCTTTTACGGACGCATTATCTTATTGTTTATTTTCAATTGAAATCAATAAATTTCTGAATTTGAGGTACAACTATATTTTATTTAACATTCACTGCCCTCCTGAACATCAAATATTACTTCATTTCATTTATGATTTTTTTCGTTTTATATTGTGTTATCATTTTAGTGATATTGACGTTAGCATTGTCTTCAAGCTTTTAATAGTTACATCAGTTTCAATCTGTTTTGATTTTGAATGTTTTTATTTTAATTTAACTTTTAATCGATTTGAATCAGATACCAGGTCAATTTGATATTAAAGGAGTAGATGTGCCTCAGGACAGTTGTAACTGATTCATAAAATCTTTTTTACCAATACAGGAGAAATTGACCTTACTTTTTTACTCAACAGAAGAATTTTAAATCTAAAAATTACAGTTAATCATTTGTTAACATACTTTTACTTCTAACAGAAAAACAGACTTCAACAGTAATAACAACAACAAAAGAAACAACAAGTGGCTCCACGACAGAAGAAACAACAAGTGGCTCCACGACTGAAGAAACAGCTAGTGGCTCAACAACAGAAGAAACAACAAGTGGCTCAACAACAGAAGAATCGAAAACACCTACAGAAGTTATACTGTATCCTTCAACAACAGAGTACTGCTTGACAAATTGTAACGTTATACACAATATTACAGAGACAGTCACCATGACACAAGACGTTACTGTAACGGAGACTGTTACGGTCATTACTACTATAACTACATCGGGTATGTATTAAAGAAGGATGTGCATTGATAGTTAATGTTAAATTTTTAAATATTCTCAAGTTCAAGTTTGACACACAACTTGGTCACTTACAAGATATTGTGACATTGTTATAATTTCAGTTAGATTTTAAAGTTAATTCAATTGTTGTCATTTTTGTTATAAGACTTCTTGTAATAAAACCATTACAGTCAATCGAAACAACAATCTTTTTCTAATAACATAATGTTCACAACTCCTGGTCGATTGAAATTGCTCGAATTTCACGTTTAATTCAAATAGTTAATTTTGTTCCTGTACTTCTTAACTATCAGGGAGAAGATAATATTGTATTGCAATTACGTTTTGTTAGTGAAGACTTCTTTTAGTACAATAATAAAAAAATACCAACCCTGTAAACTATTTATTGTTTGGAATAATCTCCATGATGATGCTACTATGCTGATTATTAATTCACAAATAAACATTCTGATGAATAAAAATAAAGAAAGAGAATATGAGAACCATAATTGACATATATAAGGTTATACATAGCAAGCGACGAGAATAACAGGAGTTTTGTGTAGAATTGGTTTGAAGTATTACATACCAAACTTGATAACTAAATCCGTTGAATATCTAACGATTGATACTTTATTATGGAAGGGCCTTATTTATTTACTAGTTATAATTGGCTTTGAACTAGTTGCAGTAACTACGAGTACTCTTAAATCGGATTCTTATCTCTTTAGTCTTAAAGGAATTTGCTGTTTGTGCTTTTTTTCCTATTAATGAATTAAGGCATTTCCAGCTGATTTTTACAATTTACTCTTGTGTTGTGATGTTACACCACTGTCAAAGTTAACTGGGGGTTGAGCGCACATAAACACGTTTAACCACGTTCAGGTTTTATCAGAGCAGATACAGATTTTGTGTCACAACATATCATCTATTATACAATATACAAACAAAAATATAAAGTCCGGGAAAAACATGATACACATAGCTTTTCTTGGTACAGGCAGAAACGTGCTTGGGTAAAACCAGTTGTACGTGCGTACAAAAATATATCGTTTTAATATTGATTTTTTTGCACGTTAATATATACCGGTTTTTTTTATCAGGAGGTAATTAATATTCATATCTCATATATTTCATAAAATGAATTTAGTATTAATTCCAATATATCTAGTCACTCAACAAAAGTGTTAGCAGAATTAATTTAAAGAAAAATGCTAAACATAGATGCAATGTACACACGAGACTTTCGCCTAGATGTACTATGTTAAATGAAGTTCGTAACATCGTTGTTATGTACACACATAACCTTCACCTTTATATACGTCTTTATACATTAAGTTTGTCTTACTAATGATTAGTAGACACGATGTTAAACTATTTGTGGAGTTTCTTAAACTTTGGAGTTTAAATTGTAAATAACAATTTCAATTCAATTTTCCAACTTTGTTTTTGAACAATCGTATATGTTTTTGGAATCGCAATTACTAACATTTTTTGGTTCTGGTTGATTATCGGCTATTTTATGTATTTCAAACATAAAACATAGCATAAATTATAGTTTTATGGTATTTTTTCTTTTTCAGTATATACATGATATATGTATATTCGAAAAATATAATAAGACGGTGTAAATCGAGACATTAATCAAAAATGTTCCTCTTTTAAAATTAATATAAAATGTCTTATTCTTGTATCACCGATAATTTCTCAACTATATCAATTAAACGAAAATCTATAATCAGTGCAAATTCGTACGATTTTGTTTAAAACATTTTTTCATGATGTGTTATTATTTTTAGAATAAAATAATTTACCTTCGACTTATAAAATTGTTGGATTTCCTGATTCTTAATTTATGGAGAATGTATGTAAATAAAGGGCAACAGTAGTTTATTGAAGTTCAAAACATGTTCACAGTAGAGGGATGTTTTATTGTTTACATGTAGTTCGAAAGATTTTATATATAATTGAATTACAACTGCCCTAGAGCGCTTTTGTCACCTTGACAGTGTTTCTGCTAGACTGAATAACTGCAAATAAATAAAAAAGAATTATTACTTAACATAACATGGCATACATTCATACTCGTTATAAGGACATTATATAAACCTGTCTTTTCACCTTGCTATCGTTACTGTAATGTTTATAACATAATTATTGGAATTTACAGAAATATATATATGTATAAAATAATCCTAATAACTCAAAGTGTAGTCCATCAATTAAATGTCTTACAAATGAAACAGGCATTAGTATGTTACATTTGGAATGACATCGAACTCAATTTGGAATTACAACCAATCAGAAGGTTATGAGTGCTTCGGCACTTTACAATATTCTATATTTGTGAAAGAACGAAGAAATTAAAGTTATTATCTTTATCTTACATATACATGGTTGTTTTCATTATTTAAGAAAATTATGTGATTACTTATTAATAAGCTCATATATACTAGTCAACAAAATAACGATACACAAGTTTGTACTCATTTTTCGTTTTTCATATATTTCATTTATCATAAAATATAATACATTGGGAAAACTGATAAATTATCCAATGAAAAACATTCATTTGCATAGCAATTGAATATGATTGAAAGAATCTGACCAAATTGGAAAGTGAGAAAATACCGTGTTATTGAAACCAGGTGTCAAATTTTTTGGGGGAAAATGATGACAAAAGTCGGCACTTAATTTCGCAGACGATAATTAAGTGTTCAAATATCTGCAAAGGCATTCAAAATTTTAAACAGACCATGTTACAGTTTAAAGTTTTAAATTGTAATATCGATTTTTGAATTTTTTGGTGAAAATACGATTTTTGAAATACCAAAAATTGCAAAAAAAAAAATCGCGTATTTTCCTTAAATCAATGGTCTTGATATGAAAATTACACTCTGCAAATATTAGACAAATTGAGCAACTATTTACCTTGGTACAGTGTATCCAATTTCATTATATATGGAAAATACATTGCCTTGTATCGTTTCTTTTGTTGACTAATATATAATTAATATTAACGGTACCATTTTGTCTGTACCAAATGCGTATTTCGACAATAAATGTCTCTTCAGATATGTTTGAGGCCAAAATATTTGAAAATCCCAAACTTAATTTAAAAATTGAAGAGCTGATATGGCCTAAATGGACAAAAGTATAGCCAAAGACGGGCAATGGATCATAGATTTGCTCGAAGAAGATATATTCCTTAATTTAAAACAATTTCCAAAATTTTGTAACAGAGGCTTATTAAGAAAAAAAATGAAATTTTGAAGAAAAAATTACATAAGAGCTTAAATGGATAGGTAATGGTTTTTTAAAATGTCCATTCGCCCTTCAGACTCGTATATCTTTTCAACAAATCAAAGGTTTTTCCATTGCACCTCCTTCATCGAAATGCTACTTAAATGCATGAAGATTAAGTACGTTATTATCATAAAGAATCGAAAACAAATAAAATTCGAACACGACCGCCAACACGTTCTCACGTTAATCATAATGTAATTGACAGAAAGGTTGAATCAAGTCCGTAAAACTAATTGCCAGGGAAACATACGGCACGATTACGTAATTGTTATCAAGATTTTAAATACATTTTAGTACAAGGGTAAAAATTGGAATTTTCGAATGATTTTCTATCCCGGGAATAGATTGTCTTAGCTGTATTTGGCAAATCTCTCCGAAGTATGGGTCCTAAATGCTCTTCAACTTCGATCTTTATTTGACCTTTTTTAACTTTATTTATATTATTCGAGGGTCACCGATGAGTCTTTTGAAGATGAAACGCGCGTTTGGCGTACAAAATTTAAGCCTGGTATTCATGATTAGTTTGTTTTTTAGTCGAAATTGTGAGCAAAATACCTATACATGATAGTCATTTACTTTACTGTAGATAGTTTTATCATGAACAGTGGTAATAAGTGATAAATGGCTTATTGGAAAGAAACATCCAATTCGTAAGCTATACGCCGTTTCCTTACTGAAATAAGCACAGTGTTAGGATAAATATAAATTATGAATAATTATGAATAATAGTTTTTCTTTCATGCGTCAGAAGCGCTTTTCTGGATTTATCTTTATCAGGAACGCTCAAAGCCGAATATTTGAAAGCCAAGGATGTATCAGAACCGAAACAGTCGAAGAGCTATACGAGCAAAAGGGACCCAAAATATAGCCGAATTCATGTAATGTTAACTTTGCATGAGGGATTTGAAACCTTAGTTTCTTAATAATTTCAAAATTAATTAACAGACAATCTAAGAAAAGTTTGTTATAAATCATGTCAGTACCGAAGTACTGACTACTGAGCTGATGATACACTCGGGGACTGATAGTCCACCAGCAGAGGTATCTTAACATCATGATAATAGATTATAACCAATCACCAATCAATCGATAAAGGCAACCGCTGTTCTAAAGTCATAAATCGATTAAGCGAAAACAAATCCGGGTTACAAACTAAAACCGAAGGAAAATCAACTATAAGAGGAAAACAAAGGAACAACAGAAACACTGAACTGCAACAAAAACAAACGCCAACATACATAGAAACGGACTATTTGATAACAACTGCCATATTCCTGACTTGGTACAGGACATTTTTGAACCTGGTTTTTTGGCTAGTCAAACCTCCACAATCACATAATAATTCTATATACGTTTTAACAAAATTGTACGTATACTCTGAGAAAAGTCTATGTATATAAATTTTATAATTCAACATCATTTATTTTTAATCTCGAGGTTTTAACAGATCTCAATAATAGTTCAATCCGCTTCGTTTTAGGTACTATTATACATACCATTTCATTATATAACAGTACGCCTCTGGATTCTATAAAATACAACAAAAGGACTAGTGCGATGTATTCCACAACGACAGTATATGACATGAGACCATCAGCCGTGGTAATTGGTACCGCTGGTGTTTTTATACTATGTGCTATTCTTGGCTTTGTTATTGGAACTGATTGTATCCATCTTTTCAAGTTTATAATGAACATACGATTCAATATGACACATTTGCTTCGTAGAAAAAATGGCAAATTTAATGCAATGAGGAAAAAAGAAACTGCTGAAATGTCCGTCTATACAGTTTACGCTGAGGATTTAGTGAAAAGTAATAATACTTCAACAACTACAATACTTCAATCTGAAGGTTCGACAGCTGATTTATTATCAGTATCTGATAAGCAAATCTTTGTAGAAACATTGTAATAAAAAACTCATCTTGTATTTCCTTTTTCTAGTATGGAGTATAACGAATTGCATCAAGTTTGTGTATATGTTGGTTGATGTTTTTGTTAGTTTTTAAGGACTTTCCATTTTTTTTAATTACCTTGGAGTTTAGTATTTTTGTTTTTACATTTTTTAGCGGTGCTTATGTAGTACCTGCATTTTCAGGAACAGTAACTGGTGATATCATTTCATATGCTTTCTAATGTAAAAAAAAAATGTTTATATTGGACCATTTTACGTCTCACAAATTTTCATTTGAATTCCAAAATTTTGCATTAATTGAGATCTTTACAAATGTTAATAAATGTTGAGATATGTTTTAGATAAGTTATACCCTAGATATTTACAAACGTCTGCATTGTGCTAATTGCATTCATGTAATGGTTAGGCAATTGTAGTTTATTCCATCATTTACCGTTAAAATTATCAGAAAATTATCAGATTATTCTGGCTTAATGGCCAGTGTTCTTTTGTCGTCATTATAAACTATTGAAAATATCTTCTCTCAAACGACCAAGCCAATTGATACCAAACGTGTCATATATTATCCCACTGAGGGTCTACTTTAAAAGTTATGTCCCTTTTACGAATAATGGATGATGATCCCCAACCATCTTGAAATATAACCTCAACTGGTACTTGAAACGGAAAAGTTGATAAAACAAGAAATGAAGATTTTGAAAAATCATGTGAATGACCAATTGCTATCTAACTCTTGCGATATAGTGCCGGCTATTTTCTTCCAAGTTTATCAACTTTAAAAGACTTTTTTCATTGTCTATACAGGTCCTGGTGAATTGTGAGTCCCCGAAGGTATCATCAGCTCAGAATTCAGTGTTTCGGTTCTGGCATGATTTATAACATACATTTTCTTAATTTCTCCGTTAATAGATTTAGTATTTTTTAAGTATAAGAAACTAATGTTCCAACTCCTTCATGTAAATTTGAAAAAAAAATGGATTCTGCTATTCTGTTGCAGTCCTTGTTGGTTATATAGCTCTTAATGTATTCAAGTATTTAAATCATTGGCTTTCTAATGTTTGGGTTTGAGTGTTAGGGATAATGGTAAATCCAGAAAAGCTCTTCTGGAGCACTTAATTTAAAACCCGTTATTTTCATTTTCTGAACTTTTTGATATTAGATTTAATAGGGGACGACATTTACAACTATTTAATAGGGTTAGAGGGGAGTGTTCATTAAATACATTGGAAAAACGATAAATTTATTAGGGTTGGGGAGTGTCCGTTTATGACATTTACCAGGATTAAAATTTTGTACGCCAGATGCACGTTTTGTCTACAAAAGACTCATAAGTGACGCTCAAATCAAAAAAGTGTAAAAGGTAAAAAAAAGTACGAAGTTAAAGAGCATTGAGCTTCCAAAAATCCAAAATGATTTGCCAAATACAGCTAAGGTTATCTCTTCCTTGGGTAGAAAATTCTTAGTATTTTTCTAAAAATATAAAAATAAAAAAGCCTCAGATTTAATAGTTTTCAACTGTATCTTTCTTATGTTCCCATTCACTAGTCTTGTTGCTTTTAGATATGTCTCATTCCTGTATTGTCTATAGTTTCCTTTTTCACTTTATGCACTTGAATGATGTCACTTCTGCATTTCAGTGGATTGAGTGATAAAAGGCGGGAAAAATTGACTATAACTAGAAGAAAAAGTGACTGTGGAAAGGAACAGTTTTGCTATGAAACATGTCACTCGTTGGTACCTCACAGTTTTTGTAAATACAAATAACAATTTAAAATTTAAAAATTTCGTGCGTCCGAAGCGCTCTTCTTTATATACTTTCACCTTAAACGCTCAAACTCGAATAGTTTAAAGCCAAGAATGAACTAATAAGTAGAACGTTAGGAGCTTTATGACCAAAAGGGGACATAAAAGAATATCCAAATTTCTCTATGGTCAATGACTACTGATCTGATGATAAATTTGGGGACTAACAGGCAACCAGCAGTAGTATAGACCCACCGCTAATAGATAAACGCTTAAACCCAAACATTTGAAAGCCAGGAATTATTACGTAAAACTATTAGAAGCTATATGACCAAAAGGGACCTAAAATACTGGAATTAATTAAAGGTCCACCTTGCCTGAGGGAGTTGATACCCTAGTTTCTTAATAATTTCTTAATTTATCAACGGATAATTTTTGAAAACTATGTTATGAATCATGTCAGGGCCAAAACACTGACAACTGAGCGTATGATACCATCGGGAACTAACCAAATTTGCATAAGGGTGTTGGAGCCTTAGTTTCTTAGTAATTTCTAAACATTTGTCACTGTAAGGGTTATTTTCAGCTACAGAAAGGGTTGCACAGTTCAAACGCAAAGCATTTGATTTTGCGTTAATAATCCTACCGGTATTGTGTTTTTATAAATCCCTCAGGACAGGACTGCCAAACGCTGTGGTGGCAGTAGACGGTACATATCATGCAATTTTTCGCGCGCAAAATGAGCCACAGGAACAGTTTAGTTCCGTACACAGAGATATGCACTGTATTCAAACCCTGGTTTTGATTGACAACCAAAACCACATACGACTTGGACGCAGCGGTTTCCTGGGCCATCAAAATGATGCACAACAATTCAACTATTCAGAAATAGGACACGAACTTCAACTTGATTTCATAGAGAACCTTTTTATATTAGCGGATAAAATATATGTTACAATGTAACCGTTATCTAACAATGACGAGTTAATGTCGACCATGCTATTCGCAGACTAAAAATGTTATAAAGTCTAGTACTTGGTACAATGTGGCGTCATCTGGGCTGGAAAATAAATCAGATGTTAAACTTTGCGCTGGTTTGGTAGATAGAAGGCACGATTTAGTTTTAAAAATCTTTACTTTATCATGCTTCATTTGCATTATGTTAACGATAGAAAAAAATCAATACTCCTTTGAAACGACCCCTTTAAAATGTTTATCGTATCTCGACTCTCGTTTGTTGTTTGTCAAAAGTAATCATTTATCTAAAACGTCTATTAGAACCGTTTGTGTAGAAATAATCTATTGAAAAAAATGAATGTACAAGTTTTAGCATAATACTTTAATAAAAGCTTTAACATACAAATGCATCTGAAATTTGTTATGTGTTTCATGCTAGTATTTTTGCGCAGTTCATAAGAGAGATTGGTGAAAAAGATTCCAGCTCATACATCATCTTAAAAAAGTAAGTGCAGTAAATATTTAAGACTGGAGTCGTATGGAAGGTGATTCAAGGTTAGATATCTTTGTAATCTATCTGTGTTAGATAAAAACTCAGATTTTTTTGTAACCTGTCAAATAACTTCACCATTCAACAACTAGTTGTAGGTTTTTGCGACACCACCTTATGAAGAATAGAACAAATCTGAGTCGACAATTTGTTTTAGGAAATGAATATATGTACAGTCCTTTCATAATCAATTGTATGAAAAACGCATATTTTCGGGGCATTTTGGCTTTTTTCCTGTTAAAGGTACGTATAGGTATAGAGGATTTTTTCGATGTACAATATCAGGAAAGATGAAACTGTTGTCAAACATTTGTCATCAAACGTATTCAATCTTCAAAATTGTATAGTGTCTGAAATTTAAAATATACATTCTTTAGAATATGCTAGCACACGAACAATCTGTACGCCTTTCTGTCGTTATGAAGATTATCAGATTATCAAAGATGGTGGGTTGCAAGAAAAATCAAAATGCCAAAAAACGCTGCATATCGGGACAACATGTCTCCATTTACCTGGGTAACACTTTTTTTGTAATGAGCAACTCCACATTTCTTCGTTGACGATTTCTTGTTAGTCTGAATTAACCATGACTGAGTATTATCAGAGACAGCAAGTTGTATCTCTGAAGGAAGTCCCTAGATTTGACAAGCTTTTGTATAGCAAAGTTTTAGTCCCTGCTGACTATATAGAAAACTGAACCGCCTGATCACCTATAATGATATATAAGTCGCAAATTCGTAAATATTTCGACTCTGTTATTTCTACCGTGTGAACAAACTGGTGCATATACCATTGGTTGTCATCTCGGTTAATCTCGCTTTTAAGTTAGGACATTCGCCTTTTTAGACAGTATTTCAGTTTACGTATCTTCCTCATTGTTTGATAAACTGTTTTTGTGAATCTCATGTAGTAGGTTTAGTACCATTCTCTAATTCTTCTAATTTTAAATTTGCTATATTTGGTTTATTTTGCGAACTTTTTGACCAATCAGATAACGCGTAAACTAGTTTGTCCCAAAACCATCTGTCATCCGTTTTGACATATGTCAATGTCTGCATACACCTTTTAAGTTCTGGCTCTAGTTCACTCGTCGGAATATCCTCAAGCAAGACAATTATCAAATGCCGTTTCTTTTCAAGCAGACTTTGGTGTAAAGCTGTTCGGAATTCCATACGACACCATTCACTTTTAAGAAAATGTTTCGAAACAATGATGACTGTGTGTCGACTATTTTCGACACTGAAAATGATGTTATCAGATATCGCTGCTCCGACCATAAAATCTCGATGATGCAAACAGAATCTAAATCGATGTGGATTGTCAGGGTTTTCTAGACGTTTTGATAAAGTATGAACAACCCATGTAGTATCTGCCTCGCTGTATGCAATAAAGGCATCGTACTTTTTTTCTATGTCGACTCCCTTCTGACGGCATGGTAACAATATGTTGAACCTGGTATATGTCAGAATGACAATTTCTTTTCTATACCGAATTCCAAGAATTGTAGCTACGGCGAAAACAATGATGAAAACACTAAGAATTATAACAGGAGCTTCTAAAAAAGATAATTGTGTTATCTCGCAGCCAATCTGTTCCAACGATAATTCTATTATCTTTTCTCCGTGTAAAGCTTTTGGTGTATGACATGTAAGATTTGAAAGATAGTGGTATTTTGGGGGAACTAGGTAAAATTTAAATTTCATGAATTCCATGAATTCTTTCATTTCACAAATACAGTCAAATGGATTATTCCTTATGTCAACGGTTAACAAATCGTATTGCATTAATGGCCCAATGTCTTTTACAGATACTGTTCTTATTTTGTTGTAACGCAAGTCAATAGTTCCATTACTTGAATCATCAGTTTGACTTGCATGGTTCCTAATATCCCCAATGTCTGTTATTTTGTTATGGGTTAAATCGACGTATCTAAGATGTGTATAAGGTGCTCGCCATTCCCTGAAATGTGATGGAATATCAATGAGACCCCCAAATGAGAAGTTAAAAACTTGAATACTTGGATAATTTGAGCCTTGAAGTATTTTTAGTAAAGTAAATCTCGCCATATCTACAGCATAACTTTTTTCATAATACAAAAGGTGTTTATATTTACATGTTTCATAATTTTCCATTTGATAGCGATGATGGTTTAGCGCCGGCTTACGGAACTTAAGTGGGAACTCTTTAATGTTTACTGGATTTAAAAATGTGCTAGTTACATTTCTAAATATTATCGCAGTTGCATTTGTTGGACCACAACGGTATGTCTTTGATTCTTTTTTGTTGTTTAAACTTTCATTAAATTTCTGCTCTTCAAAAATTATTTGGCAGTTAATTAAGACATAGTTTTCCGTGTGATCTGGGATTAGGTCGATCGTGTGATCTTTTCCCTCGGAGAAAAAACCGAATAATTTGCATCCATGTACGGTCAGGGAACGTAACAGTCTTGCTCTGGCAAATTGTGGCAGTGAAATTTGTCCACCATCTTCACAAGTTATTAAAAGGGTAAAACGTACTTTTTCGTCAAATGTTATAGTATTATTACTAAATTTACGAAATGTTTCAAAGTTCAAAGTATCATTGTTGCCAACAAAGCACGATATAGACACATTATATGAACTGGTTTGCTTCACCACAGCCGA